AAATTTGTATTATTCAGTTAAGAAGATAATTCAGATTATGAACAGCCAATCTAATCATGATCAAATTTAGATTTTTTTTAAATGAATGCATTTTAAATGTCTTAGCAACCGAATAGTCGTGAGCCTGTACACTATAATTATCAAGGTAGGAATACAATGTAAACGCCTCCACTTATTTGATGAGCATCAGTAACCGGGCCAGAATATATCATTAAGGCACTGGTAAAGTTAATAATATAATATATATTAAAATAAGATATCAGTTGTATAGCGAGTTAATAGATTTTTGAATTCTGAAAAATGAAATGTGAAAAATAAAGTTAACTTATTTAACTGCTGTTAAAAGCACTGTGCAGATTCCTCCTCTCCTGATGCTGGTGTCCCAGTGTGTTTGCTAAGCTCTGCAGTGCCACATATATAAGCATATCTATGCTGATAAAATAACAGGTATTGTACACAGCTTAATGTTGTCTATGGATAGCGTTCCTGAAAATGTGCAACCATTAACCAGTTTTCCATCATCCACATCCACATACTGTTATCTACTGCTGAAGTTCTGTCAAGAATACCAGAGATGTACACTAAAATTTTATAGTAGGTTTCCACTGAACCTTTTGGGGTTGGTTATTGTATCTGTCACTTAGTTACCAGGGATTTGAATTATATTTGTTCTGTTGAGCTGCCAAGGATTGAGATGATAATTTTGCATTGTTTGGGAATTTGGATTACATTTTTATATTCAGCTACCAAGGATTAAGTTTATATTTTGCCAAAATGCTACCTAGGTGACACATTTTGTTACTGCGTGTTCACACTACACTCTTTCCACTATAGAATTGGTGGTTGAAAATATCATTATTCTACAAGTCTACCAATGGTAGTCTAGGCCAATAGATAACCAGGACTAAAAAGCAAGATCATTGACACAAAAGAATAAGGTGTACAATTCTTCTGATGAGGGACATAACAAATGCACTGAAATATTAACACGGAGAGAAACTAAGTACATAAACACAATATATAAATAGATGGAATGAAACCTTATAAATTGCGTTAACAGCGAACAAGTAGTGACCAATGAGCTAGTAGGCAAAGGCCAAGGATAATCACCAAAATTGCATACAGATGGTAGGGAAAACTGAGCACGGAGTCTCACTGAATTCACATCGGAACTCTACACCAAGGACTCTCGAGAAAGTCCGACAGGTATATAAAACATTACAGGCACGATTCTCTAGGAGTAGCACAACCAGCGCAGGTAACATGAAGACTGACAAAAACAAAGGTAAGAAAGAGAAGAGAAAAGCAAAGAAGGGAGAAACAAGAATAGTAAATACAAAGAAAAGGCTCCAGGGGATCGCACCAGGAAAGTCTTATATTGACAGGAGGGTCTGGTCAAATCTAGACGGTTGAGCCACATCAATCCAGGAACGCCAGATCTGCAGAAACTTTGGGTGGGTGTCTAACAGCATGGCCATTGGCTTCTCATTAACCATTATAAAATTCATTCCGTGCTCAATGGCTTTGAAGCGAAGAGGGGTTTTCCAAGCTCTCACGATGGTCAATTTGGTAGCCATAAATAGATGTGATGCCAACTGCCGCTCAGGACGAAGTAGGCCTACTAATGGTTTAAATAATAGCGCCTTGTATGGCTTGTGCTTAATATCTATGTGTAGCATAGTGCGGAGAAGGGCGTAGACTCTAATCCATAGTCTGCATACCTTGGGGCAAGTCCACCAAATATGGGCCTATTTGTTGACAACCCCGAAAGCAAGTTGGAGAGTATGAGGGGATAAAATGAGCCAGCCGGGCAGGCGTATAATACCATCTGTAAAGGACCTTGTAGGCATTTTCTAATATAATAACATTCCTCGAACATTTAGAGAATGCTTGAGTCATGATCCGCCAGTCTTGCTGATCTAGACAACCCCAGAGTTTGATTGCCAGTGCTGATAAGAGCGAACTGGGGGTGTCCTATAAGAAATAATAGCGGAGTAGACAAGGGAGATCAAGCCTGGCGAATGAGGCCTGTGCCTACAAAGACTTTAGAAGGAAGTCAGCCTATAGGGTTCCGAATGGGCTCCTAATAATGTAGTAAGAAAGTGATGGAGGTGGAGGTAGCTAAAATGCTCCCTCAACGGGATGTTATGAGAAGAACGCAGAGTCTCGAAAGTAAGTATCCGAGTAGGAGAGAGCAAGGAGTGTACGTCACTGAAGCCATTAGCTGGCCACCATGCAAACTGTCCAGGGTTGTCAAGGCCTGGGGGAAACAATGGGTTGTGGAGTAGGCGCAACAAAGGTAAGTGAGCAGAAATGAGACCAGCAGAATATTTGATGGAGTCCCAAAATCGAAGCATGTGCGCTAATGTCGGACTAAGAGGTGAAGGGCGACGAACAGAGGGGAGCCATGGCAAAGAAGAAAGTGGCATTGGGTGAGAGTCCTTCAGATCCACTGTAGCCCACAGGGGAATTTTGTGAGATGCGTGAAGATGGGCTAGTGGGGCAATATTCACAGCTAGGTAGTAAGCATGAAGGTTCAAGACAGACAGTCCACCTTCGGTTCTACGGGCAAATAAAATTATTTTATTAATTCTAGTGCGTGAGGAGCCCCAGATGAAAGACAGAAGCTTCTGTTGATGAATGCGTAAGATATGCAAAGGGACAGGGATTAGTAAAACCCTAAGCACATATAATAATTTAGGGAGATAAGTCATACAGATCGCATTAATTCTACCGAACCACGAAAGCGGGAGATAAGCCCATGAAGACAACATTTCCATCAAATCTTTAAAGACAGAGGGGAAATTAGCCTGATAAAGTCCTTCGTAAAGCGGGGTGATCTTAATCCCCAGGTATGGGGATTAAGACTGAAAGCCATTGAAAAGAAAATTATTGTTTCAGTGTTGCCAGCATTGAGGGGGAAAGGGTAATAGACATGGCTTTAGATTTAGTGGGATTGACATAAAGGCCTGAAAGAGCAGCGAAGGAGTCCAGAAACGCCAGTAGGTTGGGCAGAGTAACCCCCGGATTAGTAACTTATAACAATATATCGGAGAGAGCGGGCAGCCCTGTCTAGTTCCTCTACCAATCGGAAATGTCGAGGACTCAAAGCCATAGTATTTAAGTTTTTCTTGGGGTCGCGTATATATAGCGACGAAATCCAGCTCAGGAACGAGGGACCAAAACCAACATATTGAAGGACCGAAATGAGGTAAGGCCAGGATAAGGTGTCAATGGCCTTATTAACATCCAGGGATAAGAGCATAATTTCAATTTTGCGGATGTGAGCCTGGTGTTGTAGTTGTAAAATTCGTCTGAATACGTCACCTGCTTGCCTATTATGAACAAAGCCCACCTGGTCTTTTTTGATCAGATGAGAAAGAAAAGAGTTCAAATGGGTAGCTAACATTTTTGTAAGGATTTTCATATCGACGTTGATGAGAGAGATTGGCCTATAATTCGCAGAAGAGGAATGGTCCTGGTCTGGTTTCGGAATCATGACCACATTAGCAGTCAGCAAGTCGGGGGGGAAAGGGCTGAACCTCCCTTCGCCGCATTAAATATGGCTGCGAGGTGAGGGTCCAGAACATTAGTCAGTTTCTTATAGTACAAGGCCATGTAGCCATCAGGTCCTGGACGTTTGCTTGTCTTCAAATCGGCGATATAGCGCAAGACTTCTGATGCTTGTATATCACGGTCCATCAGATCTCTATGAGCTTGAATCAGAGTAGGCAAGGACAGTCCAGACAAAGTCAGAGATAGCATGGGGTTCAGCCTGAGTGGGGTCTGTGTAAAGTTTAGCAAGCATCACCAGGTTTCAGAGGCATTCATAGGGGTTAATTTACTAAATCTGGAGAATTCTGGTGCAGCTCTGCATAGAAACCAATCCGCTTCCATGTTTTATTTTCAAATATTAATTAAACAAGCTGAAGTTAGAAGCTGACTGCTACCATGCACAAATGTAAAACTGGAGGTTGCACTCTCCCGTTTTAATAAATTAACCCTATAGTGTCTTCACTTCATATTCTAAATGTTTAAGACCATTACACTGATATTGAGGATTGAGGATTGTCTGCTGATCATAATCTAAACATCTGTACCCTCAAATGTCAAATGGGTTTGTGGTCATACTTGGTTCCAATCATCCACGTTTCTGTGTGGTAAAATGCTGAGAAGTGGCCATCATTTTAAACTCTTTGATTTATTGACTATTGTAAGAACTCACAAGACCTCAACACAAGGATTTCCAAATAGCAAGTCTTGTCTTATAATAAAGTTCTATTGCAAGTTGTTTTGTGGTTATAACTGCTTTCAGGCACAATAAAGACAAAATAACATAGAAGCAAGCTGGTGTTTGTTTTGTAATTCATGTGTGCTACTAGTCTGTTGGCCTGAACAGTGTCCAAATATTAGAGAACCTTAAATCCAGCACCAAAGCTTTGCAAGTGCCAAGGATCCATCTGTCAGACAAGGCTGATCTTAAAGGAGAAGTACAACCAAAGCTTTTAGAGCTGTACTTCTCCTGTGCATCACAGAAGTGCAATTCGTTTGGCAGTACTGTGACCTGTTTTCAGCTGACAGCAGACTGAAGTTGGCTGATGTCACTAAGCCGTTACAGGCTGAGGAAAAGTCCCAACTTCAAAGTCGGGATCCTCCCCAGAGTCTGTAGCTGCAGCTGGCTCAGCCTCTCAGCGACAGAGCCTAAGCCAGCCGCTCCCTCCCCCTGCACAGCCCAGCACTCCTGTGAGCGCTTGGGGGGCTGAGCAGACAGTGGTGACTGACAGCCCCGCTCTCTGCTCAGAGTGGAGAGGAGAACTCAGCAATCAGTGATTGCTGGGTTCTCACTCTTAGAGCCGGTAGAGAACAGATGCAGTATCGGGCCAATGCTGCATCCACCTAGGTATGTATAAATAGGGAGAAAAAAAGCCTTCTCTTTTAAGTGGAAAAAAAAAGAAATGACACACTTTTGAATTGTTGGCTCGGCCATGTGATCAGCTGTGTCCAATCACAGCTGATCGCATGTAAATAGGGAAATGCCGCTTATCGGCATTTCTTTCCTCACCAGCTGTCACAATGACAGCTTGTGAGGAGAGCACGTAATCGGCATCCCTCAAAGGGGACATGTACACTGATCATCAGGGCACTGATGATCAGTGTGCCATGATGATCAGTGTAGCCCCAGCAGTGCCACCTGCCAGTGCCCATCAGTGCCACATCAATGCCACATATTACTGCCTACCAGTGCACATCAATGCCACATATCAGTGCCCATCTGAGCTGGCTTTCAGTGTCACCTATCAGTGCTGCCAATCAGTGCCACCTCTCAGTGGCAGTCAGTGCCGCCTATCAGCGCCATCAGTGCTGCCCATCAGTGCCACCTAACATTGCCAGTCAGTGCCACCTATCAGTGCCCATCAGTGATGCCTGTCAATGCCTGTCAGTGCCACCTATCAGTGCCTCCTCATCAGTGCCACCTATCAATGCCCATCACTGCAACCTTATTAGCGCACATCAATGAAGGAGAAAAATCACTTATTTACAAAATTTTATACCAAAACTAAGAAAAAACATTTTTTTTTTTTCAAAATTTCCAGTTGTTTTTGGTTTGTTTAGCAAAAAAAAAAAAACCCAGAGGTGATTTGGTGACCACCAAACGAAAGCTCTATCTGTCTCAAAAAAAATTATAAAAATGTCATATGGGTACAGTGTTGCATGACCGCTCAATTGTCATTCAAAGTGTGACAGCACCGAAAACTGAAAATTGGCCTGGGCAGTAAGGGGGTATAAGTGCCCTGTAGGCAAGTGGTTAAAGAGAGAGGTTTTCAGGGATCATCTAAAGGTGGATAGATTAGGAGATAGCTGGATAGATTGGGATAGGGTGTTCCATAGGATGGGAGAAGCTCGGGAGAAGTCCTGAAGGCGATCATGGGAGGAGGTGACACGGGAAATAGAGAGCAGAAGGTCTTTGGAGGATCGAAGAGAGCAGTTTGGTTGATATTTTGAGACCAGGTTGTTGATGTAGCTGGGGGTAGAGTTGTGGATGCCTTTGTAATTAGTATTTTGAAATTTGTTGGCGAGTGGAAGCAAGTGGAGGGATTGGCAGAGAGGGGTAGCAGACACTTAATGGCTGGTAAGGTGGATGAGCCTGGCAGCAGTATTCATGATGGACTGGAGAGGGGATAGCCCATGTAAAGGAAAGCCAAGGCATGTGGGGATGGGTTGATAGTGGTTCTATTGATCCTGACCAAGAAATCAGGGGAAGAGGCACATTGAGGAGGAAATATTATGAGCTCCGTTTTTGATAGATTGAGTTTTAGGAAGTGGTGTGACATCCAGTCTGATATGTCTGTTAGTAAATCGGGGATACGTGAGGAAACTGATGGGGTGAGCTGAGGAGTAGAGAGATAGATTGAGAGATAGATAGAGTCATCAACATAGAAATGGTATTGGAAACCATGGTAAGCTATCAGCTGACCCAAGGAAGCTAATAAGGGAGTGATCGGAGAGAGGAAAAGGAAAGTTGGTGAGGTTACAAGGAGTGCATAGGTAGGAGAATACAAGGTCGAGGCAGTTACCATTAGAGTGAGTTAGAAGCATATGTCCATTGGTTTAGGTCAAAAGAGGTGGTTAGGCTCAGAGGTTTAGAGGTAGCAGGAGTATTAAGATTAACAGGGATGTTGAAGTCACCAAGAATGATTGTGGGAATTTCAAAAAAGAGAGAAAGTAAGGCAGCCAGGCAGAAAACTCATCAAGGAAGCTTGATACCATTCTAGGAGGCTGGTATATCACAGAAATTCTTAAAGAAACTGGAGAGAACAGAGGAATAGAGTGAACTTCAAATGAGGAGAGGGACAGAGAGGGAGGCGAATGAAGGACCTGAAAAGTGCTTTGAGGGGATAGGAGGATTCCAACTCAACCTCCTTTCCGTCCCACTAGTCCAGAGGAGACCACCATGGGAGAGGGCAGCAGGAGAGGGAAAGTCAGATTCATGAAGCCAGGTTTCTGTAATTGCAAGCAAGTTAAAGGAGTTTGTGATAAAAAAGGCCATGGACAGAGGTGAGTTTGTTACAGACAGAGCAGGCATCCCAGAGGGCACAGGAAAAGGGGAGGCTAGTTCTAGGAAGAAGAGAAATAGTAACTAGATTGTGTGGATTGCGGCTGCTGTTAGAGGATAGGGGATCTGGGTATGTTGATCAAAGGAAAAAGATGGCGGCCCAGAATTTAGGGAAGTATCTCCAGATGTTAGGAGAAGCAGAAGGGTGAGAGAGGTAATATGGGAATATTTTATGAAGGGACAGGTTCCAGTGTCCTGGAGGTTTTATGAGTATGTGAGTTCAGAATTAGCAGGAGTTGATGAGTACAGTAGTAAGGTGAAGACAGGAGTGAGGGTGATATATAAGCTGTGGGGACCTCTGAAACCTAAAGGACATTTCCAGGTTTACCTAATCCAACACTAACTCAATCCCTTCAACCCTTCATTGCACAGCTGCTTCCTGGTCCAAAGGGCTGAGAGGGCTGGGAAGTTAAGCATTAGTTTAAGTAAACATGGACTTGTGTGTTTTAATTCAGTGCTAACCTCTCCGCTCCCTTTAGCCAACTGCATAACTTTTGTGACTTTCTTGGTATCATGTTGAAGGGGCAGGTTGAAGAAGAGGTTTCAGTTTTAGACACCACAGTAAGTTTATATTTTATTTTCATTGTCAGACGATCTATCCACCCAAATATAACAATTGATAAATAGGTAAACACATTTGAGTCATTAGCTCCCTGGAACTCCAGTGGACAGATCTTCTCATAGTTTCAAGAGTGTTTCTACCCACTTTGGAATCTCATTTTTCCTACAACAGTAGGGTTATTCCCACTCCACCTATTGGATTTTCCATAAAAAAAAGAAAAAAAACACAATAACAAGAAAAATCCAATAAGGAGAGTGAGGTGTTTGGACCCAAAAAACACAATAAAACATCTTTCCCCCAGTTACTGTGAGATGTATCATCATTGAAAACTGCTTGTGAAAACATACAGCGAATCCACAGATATAGGCAATCAAATGTATATATAAATCACATAGATCATAGATATGAATGAAGCTGCCTAGACCTCTTCTTTATTTTGACATGTTTTTCTCTCAAGTTAACCTCTGCGTTTTAACCTACACTTTTTCATCATATGCATAGTTTGAATTGTCTTGGTTTGTTACAAACTTTCTTTAACACTTTTGCATTTACCAAAGATTAAAGTATCAATTTTAGGGGGAATCACCATTTAATGCATGTTACATTTGGGTTTATTTTAAGTAAACACAACTTTGAAAATTAAATAAGTTGATGCAAATGCACTGGGAACCCTATTTTTCTATAGCAATGTACTACATTTTACCTGGTGTTCTTTCTAGTCATTGTGCTGTCTGTTGGACTTCCTATGGTGAGATGCCACTCACTCACTCACTGTTTTCCACTGTTGATATAGGGTGACAGCATTCTATCTCTGTCTCACAGTTTTTCTCCTGGGTTTATCACCTGTTACAAGGGCTTCCTATGGAGATTAAAAGTGTCCTTTTCAACAAAAAAAGCCCTGGTTCACATATATGCAGCCGTGCAGGCCGTGTTTTGCATGGGCATGAGAGCCCATTCATTTGAATGGACTCCTGTGCCCCGGGACACTCAGGGAAGAAGTCCCTGCACTTCTTTGGAAACTGCAGCCCACACGGAAACCTCAGTTCCCAGTGCGGTTGTGATTTCCAGTGCGGGCGGTGTGCCATTAGAATGAATGGCACCCGCCCGTGGGTCCACATTCTTCTGTGCAGGTGGTGCGGCTGCAGGGATTTTTGTGCGGCACCACCCGCACATATGTGAACCTAGCCTTTTAGGCATGGTCCACTGTTCCACCATCAAGAACTCTTCCCTGAAATACACCATACAACCAGTGCTGAAGTACATACATATAGACAGCAGTGCTGAGATTCAACAAAGGTTGAGAAGAAAAAGAGAAAAGGTTGAAAAAAGAAACAAATGACAGTTTATGATACACAGTGCTTAATGTGGTTTGGTTAGATTTTACATCTATTTTAATGAACATTACATTTTAATTATTATGTGGTCTGCGGTAAGTAGTAGGAATTTTCCAGAAATGCAATTATCTGAAACAAACATGAAATATTTTATGTGATGCATTTTTACCCAAATATACAGTTGTATTAAACATTTCATGTAAGTTATAAGCTGCATTATGTGAATAACAGTTATGCAGTAATAATAACAAAATATTATCGATGTGTCTACTAATATACAGTATATATAACAGTTTGAACCAAGAAGTTATGTGAATCACACCATTGCATTAACAACTGTGGTATGCAAGTAGAGTCCTTTAAAATTAAATATTTCCTGATAATGTTTTTAAAACACTTTAAATCGTGTAATATTTTTAATGGTAAAGCTGATAAACTCTTTAAATTGTTAGGGCCATAGACATTTATTAACTAAAACCGTAGAGAACATTTTATATAAATTCTATAAATTGCAAAATACCTTGTAGATACCTGGAGACCACCATTCTGAAGATCAGTAGTTGACATCGCAGCAAAGATTCACGATGTTGATGTTGAGGGGAGTTGTCTTGTTGGAAGCTTCTATAAAAGCAAATAGAAAGATTTGTCAAGCAAATTAGCTGCATTGTAGAGCAGATACATCACATCCTTAAATACTGAACTTGTTTATCATGTTCTTCAATAGTGCTGCCACTGCTTCTCTCCCAAGAAACATTGCTATTAAGTCAATCATGCATAAGACAATCAGACATAAGACAAACAGTTACTAGAGTAATGTTGGAATGACCAGGACTCTCACTTTGAAATGTGTGTCTAATAAAACTTTGATTTTATTGTATTGCATGCGGTAATATTTGCACATGCCAATCTCCACAATCCAAGTCCTGTTATGGCGGAGTCAATTATATTATACATAACAATTACCATTGAAAAATTTACTTCTGAACCATGTTGTATATATGCCAATAGCAAGCAGATTTCAACCAGTGAAGTATGTCCTTAATCTGGCATTAGATGGATCAGTGTTTTTTAATCAGCCAGTAGGCTGATCAAAATAACTGAATGGATTCCTCCAGCCACACAAACAAGTTGGATGGAGGAATCCTCCCTGCCGTATTATTGTATTCTGACAACAGGGATTGCTCTGCTGGCAGAATACACTGATCGGCGCTGCAGCATTGATTGCACAAAGATTTTCTAAGCCCATTCATGTGAAGTCAGTCATTAAAGCAACTTCCTATGAATGGCAATGGTCAAAATTCAGCCTGCTCTGCTGTACTGGCCGAATTTAAATACATCTTTGGCCAGCTAC